GACAGACAGACAGACAGACAGACAGACAGACAGACAGACAGACAGACAGACAGACAGACAGATAGATAGATAGATAGATAGATAGATAGATAGATAGATAGATAGATAGATAGATAGATAGATAGATAGATAGATAGATAGATAGATAGATACCAGTTTGAATCTGAAATCTCTAACCCTGAAAAAACCCTTAGCCATGTAATGTAAGTTACTATGGCAACAAACCCCAATCAAAACCAACCCATCCTCTTGAGCCCCAAAACTCAGTTTCTCAGGCTTTGTGCAACACGTTAAAAAGAAAATTTGTTCAGACTCTCCCTCTCACATTCAAACCAGCCTCTCTCTGTTCTTATACCCCTTAAAATTGATTTAGTTGTCAGCAGAAGCCAGAAACGGATAAAGGCACAGTAGGTCTTTGTTGTTGTCCAGATTGGCAGCAACAAACTCTTCTTCTCTACTTTTTTTTTTTGTGACCAGAGAGTCTTTGTAATTCAAAACGTGCTTGATGTAATATAAAATGTGCATTAGAAGTCCTTGGAAGAGTTGTAACGTGGGCTATCCTATAGTGGATAATTGCCTATAAAGTGAAAAAGAGTTCTGATGTGACTGGAAACTGAGCATTATGAATGACTGTGTATGATACTGGTTCCTTAACACTACATTAACATATACAACAAATATATTCTGATATTATTATATTCTAAAATAAATAATATTTATATATTTTACTCAGTCCTGGAGGGCCGGTGTCCTGCAGATTTTAGCTCCAACTTGCCTCAATACACCTGCAGGGATGCTTCTAGAAAGCCTAGTAAGAGCTTGATTAGCTAGCCCGGGTGTGTCTAATTGGGGCTGGAACTAAACTATGCAGGACACCTGCCCTCCAGGACCGAGTTTGGGCACCTCTGACCGAACCCTTTCCCTTAACCCAACCAATAGTGTTTTCAAAAGCAGACATAAGAGAAAGTGCACTGAAACTATTTATTTTTTACCTTGATTTTACATTACTTTTATCTATTTTGTGGAAGCGCACTTCACCACCAAACTCGAAGCTGAGCGCTCTACACCACAAGCACAATACTGTACAAAGTGAGCCTCAAAGCAAACTGACCATGCCAGAAAAAGGTGTCCAAATGAAGATATCATTACAAATGCATCAATAAAATGTCATGTAAGTATCATTAGTGTGAAAAGGAGCACATGTTGTTGTTGTCATACAATGTTACAAAAGTTGTGTAGCTTCACACCAATAGTAACTCTAGAGTTTCAACCAGTCATAAACTCTGAATCATTAATACATAAGGCTACATAACTAAAACTCAATGGGCTCTATTTTGACGGTTCATGCGCAGAGCGTAAAACGCAGGGCGCAAACGCTTTCAGGGCGTGTCAGGACGCATTTTTGCTAATTTAAGGACGGGAAAATCCGTTCTGCGCCAAGGCGCATGTTCTAAAAGGGTTGAGTTTATTTTCTTAATGAGTTATAGGTGTGTTTTGAGAATGAACCAATTAGAGTCTCAACTCCCATTCCCTTTAAGAGCCAGCTGTGTCCCGCCATAAGCGCATTCGCTATTTACAGGACGTAAAGTAAGTCTAAGTGGAAAAACTGAGCATTTCACAAGCAAACAGTTAACAGTTAACAGTTTTTTTTTTAACAGAAAACTGTTAAACAGAGCATCTACTGCGTGAGAATGAGAGATGGATCACTTTCACTTTCGCTCTTGGATAGGGAAACCTTTACGCACAGACATCAATTAGTCTATAAATAATTAATTGCGTTTGTTAAGCGCAAATATTCGTTTCAAAACTATTTCTAAATTCAGTTTTAATTTCCAGCAAACGAATAAATGAACAATAATAACGAAGTGTGCTCAAGAGTTATATCCTAAAACACATGCTGTGCCCCATATGGTCTAAAACCTGACAGGTGGGCAAATCTAAGCTTGTTTTAATAAAACAAATATAAATATGGATATAATAAATAATACTGCTAATAATAATAACATTATACAAAAGCAAATTGTTATGAATGAACTGAAAAAGCCTCCCGAGATGAAGAAGACATAAAAGCAGTGATTTTTCACATTTATGTAGGCTAGAAAATAATATGTTTTGTAATTTTTTAATCCTTTATATCTATTATTATTATATCCTATATATATATACTTAATATTTACATTTTTTCATATGTAAAGATATTTGTCTATTGCTCTCTAGGCGTATTAAGCAGTGTGTAAGCGAGGTGCAACTCTGCGCTGGAGTTTAGACCGGGTTAGTTTTAGTCTAATGAAAAATCTATTATAGTTTCTCAAAATAGCAACGCGCCAGCGGTCCGCCTCAGAACACCTTCCTTTTTTAGACCAGAACACCTATAGGCGCACATATGAGCGCTAATGCATTTGCTATTTAAACAGCGTAGCGCAACGCCTCAAAACGACTCTTGCGCCAAGCTGAAACTACCAAACAAGTATTGTGTCGCGCCTTGCGCCACATTGCGGCGGGTGTATGATAGGGCCCAATGTGTTTATGATTACCTGACCTACCCCAAAGAGTTCTAAAACATTTCCATTGGTGACACTAGTTTTGCTGAAATGACACACTTGAGCTTAAAACTACCACTTCATTGATTATTTTCAGGGAAACGAAACAGAAAGCTGACATCCTACTTTCATGAGCATCAAAGATCGCATAGCTAGGATATGTGGGTGTTTTTATCCTCCGAGATTAGCTGATACCTCCAGACATCACAAAGTAAAGCCAAGGCACCAGTAGCGTTTGAACCTGTGATGTGACAGACATCTGTTTCCATGGAGACAGGCGGAAAACTCTGGGAAGTGTCTTAACTAACTCATCAGAAAGCTGTTGACACTGTCTGAAACATGCAGACTGCTGCTGCCTTCAACACCCATTGGGAACTTCCTCCTCCAAACTCTGAACCTGTCACTGTGGTGTGCTCGAGTGATTGTGGATGGATGGGTTGATCTCCATTTCTCAGGTAGCATTTCTTTCAAGGGTAGACAAGTGTGATAGCTGCATTTTCTCAGATTATGCTTATTTCTCTGCTATGTTTTATTGAAGCAAAGTCAAAGAAAGTGATGGACGCTGCGTTTTGACAAAACCCATTTACCTGGACTGGACAACTTTTTCCTACATAGCCCTGCTGAAAAATCTAGCTTAAACCAGCCTAGGATGATTGGCTGGTTTTAGCTGGTTGACCAGCCTGGTTTTAGAGGGGTTTTGGCCATTTCCAGGCTGGTTTCCAGCCATTTCCAGCCTGGTCTTAACTGGTCAGGCTTGGAGATGACCAGCTAAAACCAGCTTAATCAGCCTAGCCAGGCTGGGAGCCCAGCCAATACCAGCTATGTCCAGCTTAAACCAGGCTGGTCAAGTTGGTTTAAGCTGGTTTTAGCTATCCATTTTCCAGCCTGACCAGCTAAAGGCTGATTTATACTTCTGCGTCAAACGCCGGCGTATGCTACGACGCTGACACATAGCCCTTCGCCGTGGCTGTCGCCGTCACTGACGTGCACCTCTCAAAAAATGTAACTACACGTCGCAACAATGCGTAGCGTAAGCTCTGTGATTGGTCGGCTTGGTAGCGCTTACGAGTCTGGAAGCGATTGGCGCGAGCGATTGTTTACAAGTGTGGAGTACCGTGAAGGAGCTCCGGATGGAAAGTTTTGTTTTGTGTTTACCTCATAGTTAAAGTTGTTGCACGTCTGCCGTTGCATGCGCCGTGGGTTACGCCGGACACCTGACGCAGAAGTATAAATCAGGCTTAAGACCAGGTTGGAAATTACTGGAAACCAGCCTGGAAGTGGCCAAAACCCCTCTAAAACCAGTATGGTCGACCTGCTAAAACCAGCCAACCAACATAGGCTATATATTGTGTGAATGATGAAGCTGTGGTAGACTTCTCCTATCGAAAAATTAACCATCACTCTCGAGGCTCTTCACCACCTGTCCACGACGATGATTATTAGTTTAAAAAAAATTATTAAATCATAAAAACATCTGCAGAGTGGATGCGCGCGTACTGATCAGCTGTGTTGTCGCGCGCGTACTGATCAGCTGTGTTGTCGCGCGCGTACTCAAGAGCGGTGTTGTCGCGCGCCTACTGAAGGGCGGGACCGAAGATGTGCCGCGTCGCGGGGGCACTTTTGACCATTTTAGAAAGACACTTTCTATCCAAGACTAAAAAGGGCATGTGCACTGCACAGGTTGAGCCCTATGTGTGCACGTGCCTGGTCTACAGAACCTCTAGGAACCTTTTTTTTTTCTTTTTTAAGAGTGTGCTACCTAATTCTCATTCAATTATTAGCAGACTGTAAGGTTGTATAGTAATAAAAATGCGTAGGTGGAACAGTGTCTGCAGATATTAAGCAGATATTCTACGAAAAGGAATTAGAATTAGTTGGCATGTAGTTGCAATGTAAGGTAAAGTCGACAAAAATATTAATATTAAAGCTGAAATATCTGATCATCCTCCACATCGCTGTTTCGTTGCACTTGTGTTTCCAAGGCAAAAACTGGCGCATTTGTATTGCATTCCAAAGAGCACAGAGTAAAGCGGTCATGCAAACAAAATCATCCGATAGTGGAAAAGGAGCTAAAATGCAATAAGCCTCTACACTTTTGCTATAATTAAACCATGGTTATTTTTGGCCTCTGTTACTGTCTACACAACAGTACAGTGTTTTACAAGCGTTTCACAATCTCCTTTGATGCCATCTTAGCAATTTCCCAGGCTTGATTAACTCAACGCTGTGATTGTCCTCAGGCCGTGATGTAGGCGTGTTCAGCTGAACCGTACGCTAACCGCCACTGCTCATTTCAACCAGCACCGAGATAAACACGGAGATAACAGGCAATTATAGCATTGTGGTGCTGTTGGTGTGCGCTCGCCTTGTAAATACGATTATCCCTACATGACTGGAAGGCAGCGAGTGACACCTGACTGTAAGGATGTGCCTGCTGTTGGGATGAAAGGCAAGCCGCACCTGTGGAGAGCAGAGCTCAGCTCCTCCAGTCTGTGGGATTCGCTGTTGTTGCTCAGTTTCGATAACGTGTCGATCCTCTTCATGATGATTTCCAACATGTCGCTGATCTTTCGCAGGACACCACGAGACTCGAGACCACCCAGTACTGTAAAAAAAAAAGACAATGAGCACATGTTAGTTCATGCCAGGGGTGTAACTTTGCTTTGACAAGTAAACAAGTTCCTGTATCAGTTATTCCTTTGTTATGCTAAGGTGTGCAGTTATTTTCAGAATAATGCACGGCTAAAGTAGTTCCAGGCGCATTACAGTTCTAAATCTTTTCATTCATTCATTTTCTTGTCAGCTTAGTCCCTTTATTAATCTGGGGTCGCCACAGTGGAATGAACCGCCAACTTATCCAGCAAGTTTTTACGCAGCGGATGCCCTTCCAACCGCAATCCATCTCTGGGAAACATCCACACACACATTCACACACACACTCATGCACTACGGACAACTTAGCCTACCCAATTCACCTGTACAACATGTCTTTGGACTGTGGGGGAAACCGGAGCACCCGGAGGAAACCCATGCGAAGGCAGGGAGAACATGCAAACTCCACACAGAAACGCCAACTGCGTTCGAACCAGCGACCCAGTGACCTTCTTGCTGTGAGGCTACAGCACTACCTATTGCGCCACTGCCTCGCCCACAGTTCTAAATCACTACGCCAAATTGATTTCAGTTATCAACCAAGCGAAAATCACATCAGAAGGCTTCGAATGAGATGTTTAAGAAACTAGTGCTGCAAACAGTAGAAGTTTGAGGACAAAAAACCTGACAAATGTCTAATAAACACCATCTGAACAGTGGCTTTAGCTGTGGTAACCATGGTATATTTAACAATGGTTCAATAGAAAATAATTGCGCCCAGGTCTAACGTTATCGCACAACCTAAGGTGAGAACTGTTCGCTAATAACTCAACAGACTGTCATTAATTATTCCTCACTCAACTAATGCACAGATAATCATCAGTTAATGAATGACTCGAGAAGAACTAAATCATTCATTGATGATCGCTGCTTTACATCTGATAAAGCATCTGTCTGATGAAAAGGTTAAAGTCGTTTGTTAATTGATCTTAATTAAATGCGACACAGATCTTTATACTGTGACTACATGGTTGCTTCTACTTTTTTTTAACACTCGAATCATCAATACTTGTATTGATTTTACTATAGCTACACTAATTACACCATGGTATTGTGGCACAAGTGTGGTATGTTGTATTGGATTTCAATAGTTTGCTCGTTTATTAAATATATATAAAATAGTAATGGAATATAACTGCAAATGCAACAGGGAGCATACACTCTAGCTACTTTTTACAATGTTTAGTGATATCCTGTGGTTACTATGATGTGTGAATGTCTAAAAGATGATGTTGTTATGATTTTAGAGGGTACTGTTATGGAAGTTAATGAGAATTACTTAGTAAAGTACCTATTAACTGTGTTTTAATAACATCTACGCCTACCTCAACCCTAACCCAGCCATCACAGTAATGTAAAAACAGTAATTATACAGAGTATTATTCACAATATTAATTAAAGTACCCATTAATTGTATTTTATTAACATCTACGCTTAATCCAACCCTAACCCAACCATCACAGTATTGTAAAAACAGTAATTATACAGAGCATTATTCACAATATTAATTAAAGTACCCATTAATTGTATTTTATTAACATCTACGCTTAATCCAACCCTAACCCAACCATCACAGTATTGTAAAAACAGTAATTATACAGAGCATTATTCATAGTATTTAATAAAGTACCCATTAATTGTACTTTATTTTATTATTATTATTATTATTATTATTATTATTATTATTATTATTATTATTATTATTATTTAAATATTTACAATGACAGAACAGTGGTATAGGTGTCTCATATCATCATATACGATAATAATCTATTATACAATTGTCCATCAGCTAGTAATTCAAGACTTTTGTGAAGGGTAAAATAAACAAAAAATAAATAAATTCAGATACAAATTTAATAAAAGAGTTTTCAAGATACATTCTCCAAAAACTCCCATAGAGGATTCCAGATATGCCAGAAATCATCAGATTTTTGACGCAAGTATGGCAAGAGGACCACAACAATAACCTCAAATAGAATACATTTTCTTGCAAGATATGTACAAAAGTGTAACACAGATTCTAGTCCATGACTAAGTTGTAAAGCAGTTTTACAATTCAGAAGATAAACAGCTGGAGAAAGGGCAAAAGGTTTACTTATAATCCTCTGAACTAATTTGTGAATTTCTTTCCAGTATGTCTTTATAATGTCACAGTCCCAGAATACATGCATCACAGTTCCAACATTGCACTTAAAACAACACTGAGAAACATTTGGAAATATCTTATTTAGACGAACTGGCATCACATAAGTTCTGTAAAAGAATTAAAAATTTTGCTCATGGTTTAATACTGTGTCCTCTTTGAAAAATAGGCCAGAACAGACCGAAAGCCATTGTCCTTCACTAAAATTCTTTTAAAAGTCTTTCTCCCATATAACTTTCAAGGAGGTAAGGGAAGAACACCCTACATTTGATTTATTTTATTCTTTTTCAAATATTTTACAAATGATGTTTAAAAGAGCAAGGAATATTTCACAGCATGTCTAATAATATTTTTTTCTTCTGGAGAACGTCTTTCTTTGTTTTATTTCGGCTAGAATAAGAGCAGGTTTTGATTTTTTTAAAAAGCATTTTAAGGTCAAAATTATCAGCCCCTATATATATAAGAACAAAATAACCTCCCCAATCAATGCTAATGTTGGGCAGGGATGGAAGAGTGGCTGCCAGCCTGACGGCAAAGAGAAATGTGAGAAGATTAGAAGATTAACAAGTTTTATTGTAAATGCAGATAACTACAGTGTACATGCTAATAACATTTTACAGTGTACATGTTTTAGGGTAAAACAAGAGTAAGAATGCAACCAATAATCACTGATAATCACCTTCAATATGTGTACCTTCAATACTGGTACATCTCATTGAACCTTACATATTAATGCTGATAATTTATATCTATACATTAATTCGTAGTAAGTTGTGGCTAGAAGGGCATCCTCTGCATAAAACATATGCTGGAATAGTTGATGGGTTATTCCGCTCTGGTGATCTCTGATAATTCAGAGACTAAGTCGAAAGAAAGTGAATAAATTAATTTATTATTTAAAATGTCAAATTTGTTTGAAAAAGTCAATTCTAATGGATGTTTTGTTGCATTTACGAGATTTTGACCACTAGTTGTTCTTAGCACGTGGTGTTTCCAACTCTTCTAAACAATGGAGCATCTTGCAAGCCAATTTGTTCAATTGTATAGAAGCTTTTGAAAAAGCTTCATCACTACTATGAATATCTAAACATCATCTATTGTGTTCAACAAAGCACAGGAAGGTTTGGACCGACATAAGGCCAAGTGAGTGATGGATGAACAGTTGCCTCTACTGCTCCCCGTGCAGACAAACAAGCACCAATCCAGCATGGTAATTTATGTTGGCCTGAGTCTGTCTTTTCAGCAGAACAGAAGCACAATGCAGAGAAAAATATTCTCCAGGGCAGCACTCGCCTCCGAGTAAGGCTCGGAAACAAAGTCACGGCAAAACAAAGAGCCCAAATGGAGCCTGGACTGGAATTCGCTGGCATATTAGTAGTATTTACTCATAATACAAACAGCAGGCTGAGGGTTTTATTCAACATCATTTCAAAAGCATCTCATTAGCAGAGACTCTCTCTTTCTCCCTCTCCAGAGCTTCAGCTACTTCAGCTCTCATAACCGAAGAAAGGACGCAAACAACACTAAACAGGAAGGGGACCAATTAGGATGACAGTCGAGCTCTTAATTTCCGAGCTCCTGCCGTCTGTTTCCCGGGAAGCTGGAGCGCTGCACTGGATGCCTCTCACCTGGCCAATTAAACTGAGCACATCTACAACTGTGAGGTCAGTAGGCCTCCAGAACACTTCGCTCTGACAGATTCTGCTCCCGCTCTCTTTGAGATCCGTCTCCGCTCAGCACATCTTACTAATGATGAAGGCTAGAGTAGAGCTTCTTCTTACGCTGCTTTTACTCAGATTAAGGTCTCTGTGGCTGTTTCTCCTAAGATGTAAGCTACTGTTTTGGGTTAAACACTTATTCAATCCTTGTATGTATTGGATCCTAAACAGTAGGGGATGTTAAACTCGGTCCTGGAAAGCCGGTGACCTGTGATCAGTGGTAAAATTAACTTGTTAACACTAAACTCTGGCCTTTTGCTTATGTTGCGTTTACACCAGACACGGATTTACATGTTAAGTCAATGCAAACGCGCAAATAGACATGCTGTGGGAAGATATGAGTGAAAAGCGCGGCACGAATGATGCTAATTGCGTGAATGATGCTAATGGCGCGATACACGCAAATGGAGCAGCACGGATTGAGCACTTTGCGCGTTTGTTGCGCATTTTGCGCGAATTGCTCGAGTTCGAAAGTCTGGACTTTAGCTAGACATTCGGGCCGCCTTAACCAATCAGGAGCTTGCTCTGGTGGCTGCATGATTATGACGTAAACCTGTTGCTGGTGTCCTGGGGGAAAGCCTACAGCCGACACCGACAAAAAGTTCAACAAACTGGGCTCGGCTCAGTCAGAAGCACCGCTGAATTGATGGCCGACTAAACTTCTCTGACCACATTTCTAGAACTGCTCGATCGTGCAGATTCGCACTCTATAACATCAGAAGTATCCGACCCTTCTTATCTGAACATGCAGCTCAACTCCTTGTTCAAGCTCTTGTTCTCTCAAAACTGGACTACTGCAACTCTCTGCTAGCGGGGCTCCCAGCTAACTCTATCAAGCCTATTCAGCTGCTCCAGAACGCGGCAGCACGAGTGGTCTTTAATGAACCTAAAAGAGCACATGTCACTCCGCTGCTCATCCGTTTGCACTGGCTGCCAGTTCCTGCTCGCATCATATTTAAAGATCTGATGTTTGCTTACAAAGCGACTTCTGGCTGCGCCCCTTCTTATCTGCTCTCACTGCTGCAGATCTATGTGCCCTCCTAAAACTTACGTTCTGTGAATGAACGTCGCCTTGTGGTTCCATCCCAA